TGTAATTCTTTTATTTTTTTTTTTTTTCATTTAAATTTTATTTTTTTAAAGATAATTTCTTTTTATTCACAAATATTTATATTTTCTATTTTTCTAATAAGTGAAACATTTAATTAGATTCTGATATTTTGTTTTTCATAAGATGAAGTACGAAACCTTTGTTAAATTGTCAAATTCAAGCTCACTGTAGTTCAGTGACCGTATTTTAATATGCCATTTTATTCGCGAGTCCATTCATCCGATTTGAAACTTGGAAATGAATTAACAAATCGATCTTTCCATTCAATTGGTCCTAATCGACTTGAATACAGTGAGCCTGAGTAAACGGGAAGTATCTTTCGTAAATATAAAAACCATTATAAGCGCATTTCTAAATAACAATTTTAAAATATAATTTGACAGCTTTTTTAACGCTGCTTTCAAAAGATTTCTTAATTATAAATATAAATATATGTACTGAAAATTACGAAGAGAATAACACCTACGTATCTGTTATTACGAGAATAAGTATCGCTAATGTATGCAATAGGGCTTGAAAACTCATTTTGATTTCACCTTTCTTTTCTTTATGAATGACGAATATAAATAGGAAATAGGCCAGTACACGTAGTGATCAAATAGGAAATAAGTGTTTAATCCGTAAGATTATAAGTATTGATTAACATTTCCTATAACTACTTCTAATCAGTGGCGTAGCTAGGGTGGGGCTAGGGGGGACATCTGTCCCCGGGCGCAGCATTCAGGAAGCGCCAAATTGAAATTACGAACTTTTAGAATGAAATTTTTCCGTTCTTGGCACAGAGAAAGGGGCGCAAAATCTTCAGTTGTCCCCGGGCGCTGAAAACCCTAGCTACGCCTTTGCTTCTAATTGAGGCTTTCTAAGAGCAACCCCCTTAACTTTGACTCGCAGCTTTTAATTTTAGACTAGGATATGAGCATAGGAATCTACCTTTAAACAATGGGATTTTTTTTTAAACACTGTGGCATGGACAATGCCTAGTAACATTAGTTTTAGCGTCATTAAGAATAATTTTCTGGATTCTCATATTGATTTTTTTCCAAAAAGATATTAAAAGCTGCAATTGACGAGTATGAGCAATGCATAATACATACATATATAACGTAAGCATACCATAAAGAAAAATGAACCCCCAACAAAAAGCTGATCGACTGCTATTGAACTCTAAAGAGGGGTTTATCAGAGGGAAAATGGCAATTAAAATCAATTAAAATTCCATTTAATTGATTTTAATTATTTATATACTGTATCGATTTATTACTAATTGTAATGGATTGAAATATTTGAATATGAATTAGCTGAATATTTAAGAAAAATATTATGATTGCGAGAATAGAAAAAAAAAAAAAAAACATTTTTTGAATATTTACTTTCTTATAGAATGCAGATGAATTCATTTTTACTCAACGAAAATCAAAATTTAGTGGCTAATTAATCTGTCTTGTATCGAGCACTTTAGTTCAGTGATCCGTATTAATGTGCGCTTTTTTAAACATAATTTAAATGCTTCAAGAATAATTAGAAAAGGGCATAATTCTCTTCTTATCCTTAAATTCTTCAATAAAAAAACTGCATTTTCAGCAAGTGAAATAATTTTCTAAATATAATTCAAAGCATGAAAAATAAGGTACAATAAACAGCTTGGAAATGCAACTAGCATTGAGATTCTCTTTAAGAAATATGGTGAAGCTTAACAAAAAGTCTACGAAGTGAAATAATTCCGTAGAATATTTTCTAACTCTTTATGATTAAATTCACACTCAATTATACTTTATAAACCGACATGTAAATTACTGATTTAATGTATATATGTGGATGTCTGTGTGTGGGGGTGGCTCACTAGTGGCTGAGCGGTAAAGTCGTTGAACCTTGGTAGGTGAATCTGGGGTTCAAATCCCGGGGTTCGAATCCGATCGAAGGCTGTATTGGCTGTATTTCGTGGTTTCGAGGTTTTCCCCATGTGTAACGCGCATACGAGTCAGTTTTTGCTTAGAAAGTTCTCCACGAGGCATCCTTACTCTTAGGCAAATAAGCCGTCGAATGCTTTGCTATAATCAAACAAATCAGACCAAACAATAGATATATAAACATGTAGCTTAACAAACTCCTATATTTTATGTATACTTATAAAGTAGTAGTTTACCAATATGTATGATAATGATTAAAAGAAAGGAAAAGTCGGAATCCTAATTGATTGTATATAATGTAATCCCTATGAAGGCCCTAACAATTCTTTCTCACTTAAAGTCGTAACCCAAAAAGAGAACAGGTAAATTAAACTTCAGATATATACAATACTGAATCTAATACAAAATATAAAAATAAATTATTATGTACGAAACCTAACTAACTATTTATATTGATATTACGTAAATATACGTATGGTAATGAACATTGTATAATAAAGATATTTTATACCTTGTTCTATAATTGGTTCCATTTATATATACCTATACATAGATATATATAATTTAAGGATTATAGTAGTAGTTAATACTACTACATATAAAACCCAAAAGTGCATCAATAATGTATTTTTCAGTATTATTTAACTTCATTCTTAGTAATTTTCTGCAGTCTACTTTGCGTTATTTTATCCATAAGTCTCAAATAAAAACAACTATTGTTTATATGTCATTAGAAAATTAACCAATAAGCAGAGACCACAATGTAATTGAGAAACAGTCCTTAGCCGTGAAAAGGTTGAAAGCCATTCGGTTATGACTATTATCTCACATACTCAGCTACTTCGCATACATAGAACATAGCATTCGAAATGAAAAACTCAATATTTACTACAAATTCATTCGTGTAACAAATATCTGTCTTTCTACACCTATGGCTTTAAAAAAAGATGTTATTTATCTTATAGTTTATTGTTAAGTAATACATTTTCATTGTACAAAATTGCATTCATTCGAAGAATTCAATTTGTATTTTCCTCTGTATAAAACTGAATGTAGAGAAATTAGATGTTTAAACAACTCCCACATTTTCTCAAGATCCCAAGCGAGATTGTCCGGTCCTTGTCAGCTCTCCCCCTGAAAAAAGGGATTGTAAATTTACGACCTGACCGCATATGAGGGTATTTCGTTGGTGATATTTTATTTTTTTTTTCTATGACCAAGCCTACTGCATGGGTCGGTCCAACAAATCAAAAGTTTTTAGTTTTTCGTCTTTCTGCTTCCCGCCCCCATCTATCATATGCTCCTGCTATTCGTTTGATGTCGATGAAGAGGGTTGTTCTTTCAAATGCTGACTTGTAAATTGTTTGGGGATGATATAGGCAGTCATGTTTGGTCGTGCAAATTGAAAGAAATATTAAAACCCTCTAGAATCTCAGCATAATCGGAATTGCGGCAGGGTCTAACAGTTTACTTCTTACGTAAAGTTGTTTTTCATCATAGCTGAAATTTGTTTTCTCTGTTTGGCCTTATCTTTGGCTCGTTTTCTATATTCCGCTTTTCCCCCCCTCAGGGCGCAGATGGTTTATTTTAATCTAAATGAAATTCACTATGAATTGCCTTAATAAGAATAACTAAGAATTGACGTAATTACACTGGACAATCCTAAATAAATGGTCGCGTCTCACTAAATATAGTGCGGGCTATTAAAAGCAAGCATATTAAAAAAAAAAAAAAAAAAAAAAAAAAAAAAAGAGCACAGAAGAGACCTGAAAACTAAAAAATAACCATAAAAAATAATAAATCTAGCTTTAAAATCCAAAATACGTTCCACTGTTCCTAGTCAAACCAAAGGTGAGCCTATCTGGCCGACTGGCTGCAAAGAAATCTAAATGCCTTGCTTCATCTTGAAGACATAATGATAATGTCTTGTATATACTCGACGAATATTAATTTGAATTATTTCATTTGTCCGAGATGGCCCAAGGTTAAGTTTTTTGGATTAGATCTTTAGAAAATTGTTACAATGCTTCTCCACTTCCCAGCAGACTTTGCTATGGAAACCAGGCGACTCCTTCAACAAGCTATCGTCCTATTTCTCATTTGAATACACCCCGGCCAGACAGGAAACGATAGAGGGACTTCAGACGTTACTGATAGGGTCAGTCTGATTCTATCAGTGACGCCTGGAGTCCCTCTACTTGCATCTTTCTGATCTTATATTTATAGTTGTAATTGGCTGTACTTAACTTATGTTCCTTTAAAAGGGTTCTTAGTATTTAATTATAAATCTTCTAAAAAGAGGTTTTTAAACTTGGCCTTAAAACTATTAACATTGTACTAAAATTAGAGAGCTGTTTTAGTGAGCAACATATCAAATACCATCCAGCGTTATATTTGAATTTGCCGCCCACGAGAGTTGCCGCCCCGCTAAATCCGGGACTGACCACACACACACATAAAAGCCATCTATTATCAATGCTTGCTAAATTTACTATGCGCGCGATTTAAACCACTTTTTCTTTTTTATTTTTAAATTTCTTTCAAGAGTTGTTTTAAATTATATTAAATATATAACAAGCAGACAATGTTTCGTTGTTCTCTCACATGAATTTTATAATTTTTTTTCGGAGCGCTTATTGGTTTTGAGCAGTACGCCAGTTTTCTATGGTACACAGTTTACACTGCTTTAAACAGACTATGGAATTTGTAGTTTAAAAAATTACTCAAGTTTCTGAAATTATGTTTCTCATTCTGAACTTATAAACTTAAATAGAGTTATAGATTAAGAAGAAAATATAATTTTATTAGTATTGTAAATTATATTTAATTTTCTCTCTATTTACAAATTTTGGAAGGTTCAGTCATACTTGAAAACGTTACACACAATTTATATGTTTTATTCATAATATTCGCAGTTTATTTCTTTGATTCATTATTCTAGGTAAATATTGAAATAAGTGTTATAGACCAGCTTTTGAAATCGCTGAACAAATATTTTTGATGATATAACAGTAAATGGATCTTCCTGAATTCGAAATTTGTGTGTCTAGACTCCTTTTGCTGATTTAAGCACAATGTCGGCGCGGCCTTATTACAAGACCAAACCCCTGCTGGTGAATGGAAGTCATAATTTATTATTTGCACCTCGTTCAGAGATAAACTTTTCTGAAACACTACAGAATTTGAAGTATTATTTATTTCAGGTTTTAATGGACATCAGGAACGAGAGATCATATCCGACGCCAATTGCAAATTCCACTCTGCTGCCCCTTCTGCTTTTATCTCTGACACGGCAGCGACACACGCCAACCACAGCGACTGGGTTTCAGAAGGAATACGATTACATCGTAGGTAATGCGAACAAGAAATTTTATTTAACGTCTTTACTTATAGTTTGCGTTTTTTAAAATATCAATGTTTTGATTTTAAGTAAGATTAGATAAATATTTGTAGTTCTGTACTAAATAAACAGAGGCTGAGCTAATTTTTAAGAATTTATGATGCTGTAATGGTGGTTTGTAAATTGTGATTGATACTCCAGACTGATCAGCTGCGCTCCTTTCATATCAGAAAAGGAACAAAAAAATGCATGTTGCATAGACGCATTTTTTTGTGCATTCTTATTCTTGTTGATAACTGGTTTAACCATCATTATTTCCGAGACCTATTAGTTTTTGACGCTTAATTTTTAATTTATATAAATTTTACTTTATTTCCATGTGCCTGTGCAAGTTCAACTCTGGCACATACATAACTATCTAAATCCAATTAATAATCAGAAGCAGTTCGGAGCAGTTTTATGTGACTATGAGTAGGACATAGTTAACTAAATTCATTAAATAATTTTATTTAGAGAAGAATTTTTTTATTTGTTTCATATTTAGTATAATTATACTTAATTTGCCGTTATACGTAATTATACTTAGTTTGTTAACAGGTGGGTCGTTGACATTGTGGTAGGAGAGACGGCTCAGAAGTCTTGGTCTTAAGTTTGAATCTGGGAGAAGGTATACATGTTTAGAAGTGAAAGCATTTAAAATACTATCAAGCCAAAAGTCCTCTTGAGAGGAAGATGGTAGAGACAGAGGGATGTTAGATCTTCATCTGTTCTCTGAGTTATTTTCCATCAAAATTGGAACGTGACTTTTTATCTCGAGGTTGTAATTCAGTCATTCGCTGTTATCTATGCTAGTCCGTATTCTTTGGTGATGAGACCGCGAAATGGTCGATGTTTTCGGCCATTCCAGAAGAATGCTTAGCCACATGTTGAGCTGTTGGGAAAAAGTTATACGCAACTTTTTTTTTTTTTTTTTAAATATTTGAAAAAGTATTATTTTATTTTTCACGTTTGACTTTAAAATTCTTTTTGCTTCAATATCCTCTCTCTTTTTTTATTTCTTTTATAAAATTTAGAAATAAGAATACACTATAGAACTACAAAGGTTCTCATTAACAACAAAAATTCCCAGATAGTTAATTATGTGCATTGAACAATTTTTCTCGTGTTTAAAATTAAATCGGACTGTTTTTAAATTGCTTCGTTTGCAATACCGTACTTCGAGTTTTTAAGAGAAAGTAATAATGTTGCTTAGGATAATTTAAATCTGTAAAGACTTTAAAAAACAGTGTTCATATATTATAGAAATAGGCGTGTTTCCTTCTCAAAATTTAGCATCGCTTGGTTTATGCGATTACGGCATAGCCTCGAGGGCTATCTGCCTAAAGAGAGGGATGTCTTCGTGGAGGACTGGCTTAAAGAAACTGGCTCGTATACACGTTACACATGAGGAAATCCACAAAAATAGGCATGCAGCCAACCCGTTCACGCAATTCAAACTTCGCACCGAACTACGAGTACTCGATCGCCGGTGGGCGATAAGGATATCGAAAACACACTTTTTTTTTTAAAACTACTTATATGCTTTCTTGTTACTTGAAAAATGATGGTTAACGTATTGAAAATTTGTTTCTATAAGGTATTGAGTTAGGTATTAAAGAAGGAATATTTTCTTGAATACTCATTGAATTCTGACAATTCTTTGGAGAAGAACACTTAAGCATAGCGCAAAAATATTCTTATTTTTAATAATTTGATTTGATGAAATAATAATATTTTTACCAATTCAATTACTATGCTTTAGATTTGATTAGTTTTACTATTCGGTAACATTTTTTTTCTTGAATTGTACAAAGAAAATTCTTTTATATGAATAATTTTCTCTTATTAGTGGGAGCTGGATCTGCCGGATCTGTGATTGCAAACCGTCTGTCTGAATTGCCTTGTGTAAGCGTTCTGCTGTTGGAAGCTGGTTCACACCCTCCCGTCATATCTGAGGTACCGGGCTTTAGTCGATCTTTTTGGTTCACTGACATCGACTGGCAATATAGAACGGTGCCGCAGAAACATACGGGCAATGGCCTCATTAATAGGGTAATGATTATTACCAAATTTGTTCGCACTGAATATTTTAAGAAATGAAATATTTATGCCTTTAAATTAAAAAAAAAAAAAATTGCTTGAAAGTGTAACTGTTTACTGACTTACTCTTGACTGAGAGCGATAAACTTTAATGCGTGGTCAATTAGCGATCTAACAAGGAATCTATAAAAGTACTTTACTTTGGTGCTACAAATTAGTTTCACTTTGATCCTTTTTATCTCACTATTTTGCAGGAAATCTCCAGTTTTTGTAATCGAACAGAAAGTGCGAAACGTATAGATTTACAATTAGTAATAGATTCTTGATACATGTTAGTGTTAAATTTAGCAAAATAAATTAAACATTATTTCTTCAGGAGTCAACACGTAAGTATAAAGTAACAAATAAATGATTAAACAATTAAAAAATTGTTTAGTTATCATGACATTTTTTATCATATATGATTAAATATTAAATCAAGGAGCTGTTAACAGCATTAGATTTTAAATCATTATTGTCAAAAAGAAATGCAGATATACTGATCATACTTTCTGGAGGAAAAAATGGATATCTGGATGACGCAAATAAGACGAGGTTTAATTATGACGACGAAAGACTTTGCCCCCAAGATCATAACAATGAATATTTTATGCAGAAAATTTTAGTCTTTTTTTTCCACATATGATGGCAGAATTGTTTCTTACATCTAGAACAGCTTTTATCTTCTTAAAGGTTAACTATGTTTTTTTTTTTTTTTTCCTTTGACATCATCTGCTCTTTACAGAAGGCAATACTCTTGCAACAAGTGCATTGTATTCTGAAAGATAAAGAATGAATCTATATTAGAAAAGTCTTGCAAGTCAAGGCCTCTTTCATTCATATCAGGAAAAGAAAATCTGGATAGATCTTTATCTGGATAGAATCTGGATAGAACGAATACAAGGATATTCTTGTTATTGTATGCATCCGCCTGCCTCATAATTTTAGATTTTATGCGGGTTCATAGATCGAAAGTAAAAGATTTTCTGTTTCTGATGTACCGGGTGATCAAAAAGTCAGTATAAATTTGAAAACTTAATAAATCACGGAATAATGTAGATAGAGAGGTAAAAATTGTCACACATACTTAGAATGACATGGGGTTTTATTAGAAAAGCAATAATTAGCATAACAAATTAAGACAAAGCAAAGATGATGTTCTTTACAGGAAATGCTCAAATATGTTCACCATCATTCCTCAACAATAGCTGTAGTCGAGGAATAATGTTGTGAACAGCACTGTAAAGCATGTCCGGAGTTGTGGTGAGGCATTGGCGTCGGATGTTGTCATTCAGCATCCCTAGAGATGTCGGTCGATCACGATACACTTGCGACTTCAGGTAACCCCAAGGTCAATAATCGCACGAACTGAGGTCTGGGGACCTGGGAGGCCAAGCATGACGAAAGTGGCGGCTGAGCACACGATCATCAGCAAACGACGCGCGCAAGAGATCTTTCACGCGTCTAGCAATATGGGGTGGAGCGCCATCCTGCATAAAAATCGTACGTTCCAGCAGGTGTTTATCAGCCAGGCTGGGGACGATGCGATTCTGTAACATATCGGCGTACCTCTTACCCGTCACGGTAACAGTTATAAAACCAGAATCACGCATTTCCTCGAAGGAAAAAGGCCCGATAACAGTAATCTGTCGGACATTTTTTAAAATTTTTTGGTTCTAATAAAACCCCATGTCATTCTAAGTATGTGTGTCAATTTTTACTTCTCTATCTACATTATTCCGTGATTTATTAAGTTTTCAAATTTATACTGACTTTTTGATCACCCGGTATATGATGCGTTTCCTTGTCAAGTTATCCTGTATTTTTTTCATTCAAAGGTCTTCCATAATAGCACTCATTCGAACTTCTTGGTGTTTTCTGAACTTTAGTTTTGTTTGCTATATTCTAACATGGTTTCACGAAAAGTAGTTAACTGTTGCCCAAAACCTAGCCTCTTTAATTTTTTCTTAATATACTAATACTTTTAATCGTCATAGGTGGTTTCAAGTGTTTCACTTGCGTGGGATTTTAATTCTTCACAAGATTGGCTTCTGTGGCTTATATATTTTTAGTTAAAGAAATTAGTTTTCGAGAAGTAGATAATTTATCTCTTGCGAATCAATCGCACAGTTTCAAGCAGGGGTCTCAAAATATCTTTTGCGACTTAAAACGACATTTTTCTTTAGAAAGAAAATAAGAATGAGCCCATTCAAACATGCTTAGACTTCTTTTATACGGTTTCAAGTTACGATAAATAATTTATAATAGTAAGCAAGAGTATTTATAGCTTTTATTAAAAACAGATAATGTCCAGATATCGTTCACATATGAGAGCTCCATGATTTTATTTCTGTTTATACTAAAAGAATCTTTAATATTATGATAATAAAAATATTTTTATATATTATAGCATTTGATTAAAACCATGTAATTTATAATTTTTTTAATATAAATTTACTTTCTACATTTTAGACAAAACCCTGTAAAATAGCAAAGAAAGAAAAATGATTGCCTTCGAATACAAGAAAAATGTTCTTTACTAAAATAACGTAAGATTACAATGTTAATTAAAATCTTTATTTGATTTAAAAATCTGATCTCATCATCTCTTAAAATGATGTTCCAACTAATGATGAAGGATTAATTTTTTTTTGTTTAAATATCCACCATTTAAAAATGAGTTAACTGCAAATTATTAAATTCCACTGCGATTAATCAATGTGTTGCAAATTTATCAGTTAACTGCAGATTATGTTGGAAACTCCAAAAAAAAAACCTTCAGTTGGAAGACTAATTTTCAGTCTAACCGGGGGTCTTTCTGGGGTATCACATGTCTTTCTGCGATTCAAAATTTCGGAAGTAACGATAAAAACTTCCTCCAAAGTTAACTTACTACACGGAAACCACGATCCAAATCTTAATCTCCGCTGACAGCCACATACTTTACCAGCAAGCATTTGACTGCAAATCCACACAAGAACTATCAGAAACGCCCTTCTTCGTCCGAGTTCTCATAGCAGCTCCGCATTTCGGACTCCGTTTTAAAAGTCCCACAGAAATTCCAAAAATACACTTCTATCCTCATAAACACACCCGTGAACAAAAGGCTCATTAACAACTCCAATATCGTACCTTTTAATACTAAATTTACTTTTCACAAAATCTAAAATATGCGACCGAAATCTTGCCACCACGTCTATCATTGCAACATAGGCCATTTCAAAACACGCACAACACGAACCAACGGGCAATTAAAGTACTTCAGCAAAAGAGTTTTCAACGTCAAAAGAGTTGCCATACAACACGCAATCGCGCCAAAAACCAGCGCAGAACACATATCGCCACATTTCTTTTATCCTAGGGCGCATATAAGAGTAGAGCGAAAGAATTTTTCAAAATTTCATGTAGACTTGTGTTATCATCGTCAGTATAGATACATGAAAAAATTAAGGAAAGTCGATTTAGTAGAAGGAGGTTAAATTATTTTCAATATTTAACCGAAAAGGACTCGCGGACCAATAAATGCACAAACTGCGGGGGAAAAAAAGAAAAGAAACAAAGTTAAATAAAAGTGTGTGTGTGTGTGTGTGTGTGTAATTATGGAAAAGCCTCGAGGGCTATCTGCCAAAGAGGAGGGATGCCTTCGTGGAGGACTTTCTAAGGGAAACTGGCTCGTATACACGTTACACATGGGGAAAACCACGAAAAGGCCCATGCAGCCAGCCCCAAAGTTAAATAAAACTGTTTCAAAAAGGAAATACTAGGAGAAATTAAAGAATATAATTTATTATTTAGATTATGTTAAAGTAAGCGAATGGTATTTATCTAAGCAATGGATGCTTTCGTGAAAGACATTCAAAAGAAATTAGCTCGTATTCTCGTTACGCATGGAGCTTTACATCATTCATTACATCATTCGAACGAGAGAACATAGAGATTATAAATTTAACGGCAGAAACTAAAATTTTATATTTACAGGAAGTGGTTTGGCCGAGCGGAAAATCTTTAGGTGGTTCCAGTTCATTGAATTCAATGGTTTATTCTCGCGGTAGCCGAAGAGACTACGATGATTGGGCAGCACAAGGGGCCAAAGGCTGGAGCTTTGATGATATTCTTCCCTATTTCAAGAAGTTAGAGGATATTAAAGATGCAGAATATAGAAACGAAGGTAAAATTAAATATAATAGCATACTATTTTATACAGTACAGAATATAGCTGAATATTCGTAAAATTTCTAAATTTTAAAAATCACATAATATAAGAAACTATGAATGAAGTAAAAACAGAAAATATATGCTATATAGCATGAATATTGTATGCTAAATAGCATGAATATATGTATGTGTATGTATTTAGCCGAAATTTATTCTAATTTAATCCCAGAAATATTATAGAAATAAAGTTAATGAATTTGAACTAAGAGAATTTAAAATAAAATTAAATGTTGGTGATTTCATTTTATCTCAGAAGGTCACTAAATGTTTCCTGAATGTTTTCGAAATTTTAATATCAATAATAAAAGTTATTTTTTCCAAAAATTAGAGAAATATGGCCTAATGTTATTTTTAGAAACATAAGAAACATAGTTGGACCTTATTTTTCACTTCAGACGACTACGGAGTCGGCGGTCCAGTGACAGTCGAAAAACCAAATTATCAAGCAGAGATCAAGGCATCCGTTTTCAAAGCTGCGATGCAGATGGGGTTCGAAATTATAGAACCAAATGGCCAGAAGCAAATAGGTGAGAGCACATTTTCTTATCATAAGTCATACATGGGTTTGTATCTTAAATACTTGAATATTATTCCAATCTTTTCTTTCTGATTAATAACACTACTTTTGATATAAATTCTTCCATGTTATGTAGAATAATTGTACATAATTTTAGGCTTCTATGACCAGTTAGCCACAATACGTCGAGGGCAAAGGTGCAGCACAGCTAAAGCTTACTTAGTTGCCAGCTGAAAACAGAACAAATTTAGCCATTTTGCCAAAAGCTTTCGTCAGAAAGGTAAAAATGCAGTAGCCTGAGTTTACTTTCGCTCTTTCTATCCAATGTAAGAATAAAGTATCTATTCTGCATACATGATATTGCTATGATTAATTCTGTTACACTAAATTAGGGACTAAATTCGTCTTCTTCTAGAATTCTGGTACTTGGGTATTAATAGACACAGGCCTATGTACCACTAACAATGTTGATTGGCCCTTTCGGTAACAAAATGTGTTTTAGACTTTAGCAAATCGATTAAACCTTTTTGTTTTAAATTTATTTCCGACGTATATTATTTGACAACTGTATTCAATATCGCATCAAACAGATTATTATTATCACTACGTATCTTTAAGTACATATGTGCTCGCTCTGTTAAGTAAGAGGGAGAGTGCTTGATGCTTTCATACTTCGGTGAGTATACTGGCACCCAGCAGGGGAAAAGGTCCAGCTCTTGCCAGTTCATGATTGAGTCCTAGATCGGAGCTCACCAGTGTAGAAATCCGCAGATAGAATGCTCCAGATGAGACAAATATCAGAGGAGGAAAGTACAGATTCGCTTTACATCTGGGTTGAATACGTGGGTGTGCACTGAATATGCACTATGACCCCTTAAAAATGTTCACAAAATTAAGGTCCATGTGCAGGAACTTATAAGGAGTCCCGCCGAATGAATGTGGGTTATGAAAAGTTTCCTTCAAATTGAGCGTTCGCATTTGGTGTCCGGCCCAGTTTGGCTAGTTAGGTTATACTGGTACAGAGCAAAGGAAGTGGGAAGCAAATGGGAGCAAACGCTTATCTTCCTCGAGTATTTCGTATCTTAGTATGTTTCCAAAGTTGGCTGGGTTGCATTGAATTGCTTTGTTTAAGAATTTTTAATTGAGGTGGGTAATAAAGTCTAATCAACTCCAACCTGAGGTCCGCATGTAGGCTTTTATTACCTATAAAGCAAAGGGCTCACATTGAAATCTCCAAAACCTTGTTTTGCAAAACTTGGAGTTTTTTTAAATCTTTATCAGTGGCATTAGCTCAGGCAGGTGAGGCGTACATTGTAATCGGTCGGATGACCGATAAGTAAAGTCTCCTCTTTACGTTCAGAGTGAGTTGTTCAAGTTTTAAGAGAGGATAAAATTTGATAGTTACACCAAACGCTTCACCTCACCCCTTGGTCATATGACAGCTGACTTAAAATTCTGGTTGAGAGTCACTCCGAGATATTGCGCGTTATTTGCTCTGGGAACAGGTATCTCCTCATAAGTAGGACTTTGTATTTTTTGGGCTGGATGCTTATCTTCGATTGGCTGCACCAATGTTCAATGAGTGAGTGAGTGAGTGCACCGCTATGATGGCTTCCGACCACGGACATGAACCAAACGGAATTATATACCATCACGGCGGGAAAGACTCCAGAGTAACAAGGTTGAATATTATAAACTAATAATAGTTTTTACATATTGTTAACTGCAAGGCACTAAGCGTTATTCTGGTTATCTGCTTTAAGTTCTGAACTTTTGAAACATTATAATATTATCCACGGTTGTTTCTGCTTAGGCAGTGTTCTGAGATTTTCTCTATTTTATGAAGGGCTATTCTGTTTTTGAGTGTGTTAGTCGTCCACATTGCCCAGGCACAGTCCGCTGGTTTCTTCAAGTGCCAGGTTCTTGTATGTACACAATGGAAGTAATAATGGTCCGTGTCGCCTTCCTCTCCGCATTCGCAGAAAGGAGTATCCCTAAGTCTGAATCTGTTCAGGTATACTGGGAATGGTCCATGACCTGTCAAGAACTGTGTTAGGCTAGCACAGTGGGTCTTTATTTCCATGTTAACTTTTGGCAGTAAGCGAAATGTCCTTCGTCCTACCTCTGCCTCTGTCCATCTACTTCTACCAATTTTGTAGAAGACTTGTCAAAGTTGTTCGCTTAATATGAGACCAAGGAAGTTTAGTTGGTCTTTCTAATATATCCGTACAGTTGGCTGCCTGCTTGGGCAGTAGGTCAGCGGCTTCATTGCCTTGAATCCCTGTGTGAGCGGGAACCCATTTTAAAGTGGGTCTTTGCGAAATAGGCATTGTCAGAAGCTGTTTCTGAATTCTGTATACCAATGGACTCCGGCTGTTTTGACTTGCGATAGCCGTCAGACTTGATGCCGAATCACTGAGTATGGAGAATTTCTCCTGTTGACATGTGTTCGCATATCTAATTGATAGCTATCTTGAATTCGCATATCTAATTGATAGCTATCTTATAATTGATCGCATACTAATTGATGAACTGATAGCTAGAAGCTCTGCTTGGTATACCGAGTTGTTCGAGCCTAATTTTCGTTTCCACTCGAATGTTACAACTCCATTTTCTAGTCTACAGAAGGCGCTGCTCGTGCCGTTCTCAGTTTTGGAGCCATCTGTGAAAAGGTTATTACTGTACCTCTGAATTGGTTGGTCGTTTATACTGATACCGTCAGAGAGATTAAAAGCTGCTGGATGAAAGTTATTGCAGTTGTTTTGCTCCTCGTAGTCCGAGTGGTGATAACTATGACCCCAGAGTGTTGAAGTTTGACCCAGCCTGGTAACCCTTACGATAGCTGCCTCCCTTTCTACTATCAAATCTAAGGGAGGGATTCCTGCTAGTTGTTGTAGGGCTAGTGTTGACGTGGTACGGTAGGCCCTGCATACTTGAAGTAGCTGCTGTCTCTGAATAGAGAGCAGGGATCTTTTCATATGAGAGGTAAGTTCACCACCCCAGATTGCTGCTCCATAAGTTATTACTCTTTCTGTAATGGTTCTATGCCAAATTTTTAGTAGCTTAGATGAGATACCCCATTTATGTGAAGTATGCGTCTCATGTTGTTGCTTAGGATGCTAATTCGAGTCTTAAGATTGCCTGACATGTGGCATCCAAGAAAGTCTGTTGTCGAGTAATAGCCCAAGATATTTCAATTGGGGGAAACATTTTACCGGTATTCCCATGGAGTTTAATGCTTGGGTTGCGTCTTAGCTGCCTGCTGCGTCCTATGAGTAAAAGCTTTAGTTTTTCTCTGCCGAAATCTGAAGCTTATGTGCTCTGGCCCATTGGGAGAACAGATCAAGACAGTATTGAGATCTCATTTCGAGGTTACTCCTTCCTGCCACAACTAGCATAAAATCGTCCGCATAGGGTTATCGTCGCAATCATAGCCATTGATTCGAGCGTATTCTACGCTCTCAAACTGACGAAATGCCGAGTTTGCTACTATATTCCACAGTGTTGGTCCAAGGCATGACCCCTGTGGGCATCCTCTAAAGACATTTTTGACATAAATGCCGCTGTCTGATGTTACTTGTACACTTCGATCTTGAAGGTACGAGCGAAGGATGGTAATAATGGCTGTTGGGCACGCCATGTTGTGCAGCAAATTTATTACGTCTACCAATGTTCAATGGCAGGGATCTTATCCCGAAGCTTGGCTGTAGCGTGATCAGATCGCTGAGATTCGGAGTGTGCCGTCGGCGTAATTGGCGAGGAGTGCATTAATGTCATTAGAAATGCGTGCATTAATGTCATTTTGAAAGTCATTGATATAGAGTATATAAAATATTGTTCCTAATATAGATCCTGTTGGAATACCCACCAGGCTGTTTTTTTGTACTGGATATAGAATTGCTGTGCTTTACAGTAAAGGTGCGTTTGTTAAGAAAATAATTGATCAGCAGAGTCAGCCACCTGGGGATATCCAGTTTTATGAGCCTGTGGAGGAGTCCTGTGTGCCAGACGCGGTCAAAAGCTTTTGCCACGTCTAGAATTAGGATTGGGTTGCTCATTTTATTGTGAAATGCTGAGCCGATAAACTATGAGTCTGAAAAGCTGGGATGAAATGGAAAACCCTATACTGAATCCATGTTGATGGTCTGCTTGGCAATTGAGACTGTCAAGTATCCGACAATAGATGAGTCGTTCCAGCAATTTACGAGAGTAATTGCTGCAACGTACTAAGAGAGGATAACAAGTTGATTGGCCTATAGTTAGAGAGGGTGTTTTACGATTTCCCAGCTTTGGAAAGACCAGGAAAGATATTCGAGCACTCTCAAGCTTGCAGAAAATAATGAATTTGAAGACAAGCTTTAACAGTGCGAATAAGCTTACAGACGCTTTTGAATGGAAAATTCTTTATTATGTGGTTATCTATATCATCACATACCACAGCTTTTCTGGCTTTTAATTTTCTGAAGATGCAATTCACCTCATGTGGGGCAACAAAATTTGTAATGTCCATAACACTTGGAGAGCTCAGCCAGGAGCTGAGTCCATAGGCTTACACACACCTAGATAGGCCAGCACAGACATTGTAGGCGAGTCTTTGCCCAGCAAAATTTCTAGATGGTTGGTGGTTAGGCTATTGTCCGGGTTATTATAGACAGCACAGAAGGTAACGAATACCAGTTTATGTAACTTAACAACTACCTTAACGGCTATATATCCATTAGAATTATTCCAGTCCACAAAGCATGATTCAAGCGTTATAGCAATATAAGAAGTTAGAAAGCTCAAATCCATGAGTAGGGTTTTCATGTGTATCAGTGACAAGATAAATGTCCACATCATGGTTAAGCTTAAAGAAATCCATAGCTACAGCTGACACAATTCGCACGCCTTTACATTTCCATCCATTTCTTCTGGTCCCTCTCTAAAGATATCCACGTATGGTGAAAATACCTCCTGGCAAGTTTACAAGACTCAGTTTTCTATAGTGGCGGACGCAGATAGGTGGGATTCCGAAGCTAAAACCTACTACCTCACCGCTTCTGTGAGAGCAGACGTAGCGGATATCCTCTAAATTCTACCCAAAATCAGAGCCTAGACCTAGGGCTGCCTTATCTGACCTTTTTGCAATACCCATCATAAAAAAGGAAAATTCTGTTGCTTTAGAACTTCATCGATGGAATCCGGGATCCTGAGATATAGAAAAATCTGCAAAAGGCGGGTGACATGGATTTGAAAACAACAGAACTGGGACCAGAATTTATCTCTGTTTGTAATGGCCTATCGCAATGTTGTCTGCGATACAACCGACTATTCCTTACCCCAGATGGTATTTGCCCGTGACCTCTGTCTGCCTTGTGATCTCTTGTTTGGTCGCCGTTCGGATGCTCTTTTATCGCTTGAGGAGTACATCCAAGATATTCAGGCACGGTTTGAATTTATGCACAATTTTGCTGGAGAACGAATTAACATGGCGACGGAGAAGATGAAGACCAAACATGACACGAGAGCTACAGAACATTGCTTCAGTAGGTACCAGGCGTGGTTTTGGAATCCGATTCGAAGGAAAATGCTTTTCCCCCTTACGCTATTGCAAACAGGCTGAGCGATGTCGCAAAGTCATTAAATTCGAAGCTTGAAGTCATTTATTACGAGAGGCTACTTACTGTGGCCATAGTAAGTAGATATACTAAGTCCATGGTCCTATGTGTATATAAATTTGTAAATTTATATATTTATTTATTGTTTTAGTGTTGAATTCGTTGTATATTATGTATTTAAATTATTGTTATAGCATTGCTTCGATTTTCCTTAGTTGTAAAAATGCCTTGCTGTCTGGAGATTTTACTGCTCGGGACGTGCAGTCTTTGGGAAAGGAAGACCATTTAACATTGAGGTAAATGGCTATCTCAACAAATTAGCGAGATAGTACCAAGGTGATATTTTTGGCGACTAATTTTTGACTCCAAAATTGACAAGAAATGGCCAAATGTAACGAAACGCAGCGACCATTTGGCGACATTTTGACTTGCTTTCTGTACATATGTAATTTTTAAAGTAATTAAATAACTGTTATTGATTCTTACAGGCAGCTGTAACCGCATCCGACCCTTATATGTAACATTAACCGTATATGCCTTCCAGTAATTTCGACAAATTGAAGGTACAAGAAACTTCTTGGTTGCCGGGGGGGGGAACTATATAAAACGCGAGACAGCATCAGTTCTCAGTAGAACTTTTTAGTTCAAAGCTGACTTCGGAATACTGAGAGATCTCTACTCTTTAGATGCAAGTTGCATTACATTAACTTTCTTAGTAGTTTGAAATGAATTTATCATCAGCTGTGTGTGCTTTCTGCCTACTACAAACCCATATGCACGCAACAATAGTATGCTATTTTTGACGTTATTAATTTATTACTCTGACAGGCGAGAAAATTAAAGAATTTTTATGTCATGTTAAATAGCAACACATTTCAACATGGAAGTTTTCCAATTCACCTGAATGACTGCCAGTTGCAGTTCATGCTTCAAATTAATTTTATTCTGTGTTCTGTTGAAATAAAATTACTTTCAGCAGTCTAAGCAGAATTCTAATGTCAACAATGTGTAAAAAAATTAAAAAAAAACTATTTGTTTTACGAAAATGATCTTAAAAATAAATAAATGGGATAAATATTGTTTTTGGCGAAATTATAAAATTTACTTTTGTCATAAAATATGAAAATGTTTATCTATATATAGATCGAAAATAAAAGGCTATAATTTTTTAATTAATGTTGTTTCTTAATATACAGTGCAAGTTTATCTATACAGTTATTATAATATTTATATATTATAAGTTTACTTATTAAATGTTTCTACATTTTCCTCAATCACTCAGTATTTCTGCCTTTATTGGAACGGCAGACATCACTACGACAATTGGCAGATCTACAGGCTCCTATTGGAAAAGAAGGCTGATGCTACAGTTGACTAAAAATAATGATGGTTACCTCTTACAACGAGATAGTTGGTTGGCTCACGTCAACAGAGACTGTTATTAAGACCATTTGCTAAAATATCTCAGCATTTTTTTCCAGAAAAGGTAGAAACTATTTTCACAATCAAAATTTGTAACCAATAGAATTTCGCACACTGAAGACAGTAGTGCCTTCCCAAAGGAAAAGTAGGTAGTGCTTACATTTCACATGAAGAAAATAAAAGGAACACCATGTAACTATCCCTTTCGTCTTAATTTTAACCTGTATTCAGTTGTTTTAACCTTTCAACAATGATGGGTTTTAGTACACACAAGGAATGTGAAATGCGTTAATGCTGTGACCAAGCTAGTCTTCGGATTTAATTCCATGTGATGTTTTTACATGTGTGGGGGGAAAGGGAGCTTGTCGAGGATACTATTTTGTGTCCATATATCTCCAGGGTTATTGAAACCGCAATATTCTGGTTGTCGTAAATCATGATATATTACTAACACACGTATGAGACGAAGCAGATTATAGCATAAATGTCTTTTCAGTGAGCAAAGAGTATATTTTGGCCATTTGTGCAATATATGAAGAAGCTTGATGAGTTTTCTTTTATTTCAGAAAATAAAATATGTCATGAATTTAAAAATATTTTAGAGAATAAAATGTACCTAATGAAATATTTATAATCTTTTTAATGAATTTAACTACTCTGCAAACAGCAGCTTCCATTTCGGGAAGATTTATTAATGTTGAAATGCGTGTCTTGTAAAAGGTAATATCTGTTCTTTAACCTGGATTTAGCAATTATTTTCTTTAATGTTTGAATAGTCAGTTGCAATGTGTAATTAACTAAAGTACATGTTATATCGTGGGATTTTTATATCACTGAATCTACTTCACAGTATACAAGTTATTTGACAAAAGTAAGGAAAGTAATGTGCTAATTCCGAATTGAATTGGCTGTTTTAAAAGTAATATCTGCTGTTTTAATAGAAAATTTGAATAAGTTATTCTATATTTGTTAGATCCTGATTCAGAGACATCGAGCAACTGCGATATTATTTGATTATGAAGGCTTTACTTACCACGTCAAGGCTAGGAAGGAGATCATACTATCTGCTGGGGCAATAAACTCAGCACAATTGCTTATGCTGTCAGGAATTGGTCCAAAAGAGGAACTGAGGAAATTTGGTGTAAGTAATTTTTGAAATAATTACCATTAGTTACACAGGCTACTTTTTAGTGTTAAATATGTCAGTCTATAAATACTAGAGTTTAGAACCTTTCTGACAACGACGTATAACTTCAGTGTTATTATTATTATTACTATTACTATTATTATTAATACTATTTCTAGCACAAAATTGCCTAAGTCAGTTTCAAATGTTCGTAAATTGTGGTTGTATTTTTATATTCTTAATAAATGTAAGTATTTAATGATGAATATTGAAAATATTCATTTATGAAATTAGTTATAATTTATTTATTATGCTTATTCATTAGGAGGAAAAAGTAAATCAAGGACTTATATCTGATTGTAACAAAATTTCACATGCAAATGCTTGTTGATCCAGTATGCAAATATAAATTTTAGGGGATAGTGAATGAGTAATTGAAGCTACAGATCATATCAGCTGAGCATCCGCATGATGTATGGAAGATAAGAAATTCCAAATCTACGACAAAACTTTTATTCTAATTTGTTTTCGTTTACTTACTTCTATTGCAGTAATGTCCCACAAACAAGATCACGCATAGTATGAGGAAATAGTATTAGCAGTCGAGAAAGGACTTGCAATCGGCTTAAAAGAAGGAGAATGGTAAGGAACATTTTATATTAGAGTCGAAACAATGTCGCTATACGAACAACATGGTGGCACGAATGCTTGAACCATGGCAGAAAAGAGTGTTAAGAAGGCAGAAGTCTGTTTAGGGAGACGACAGAAAATGGGACGACTGTGCGATTGCCAGAGTGGCTCCCGCATCACCTGGTTTCTCATTACCAATGATCTGACGTGTAACTGCGACACAAGTGGTTACTAGGATCATTGAAAGGCACTCAGAGAACGAAGTCTGCGCTCATAATGGTCATTGTGCTGACTGCGAACCCCGACAAACGCATTTCTAGTGATGCCAGGTTAAATTTTACTTCGAATCTCACTGACTAGTGTGACTAGTGTGGCGACTTTAGCGATGAGTCCCGCTCCGAACTGAGCCACGATTACCAGCGAAGCGTGTTTAGAGACATTCAGAATAATGGTGGGATACTGACCCGGTTGCCTTCTGTGACACAGTCCGACAACAGAGAGTTAATGGTCTAAGATACTGAGAGATGTGACCGGTGGCTCCAGACATTTCTGATTATATCTTAAAAAAGTAATATATCAGCGTTAGAAACCACTAAAGACTCCAAGCTGACACCTTTTGGAGGGACGAAACTGATTCTGTTCTTCCCAATTCTTAAACTTTTCTGTTATTAGCCTCATTGTGCCAATGTTTTACCTGGGGACTTTAATATTTTTCATTTTTTTGCATTTAAATGGGTTTAGCAAATGGTGTTATTACATCTGGCATGCAAACAGCAGCCATATTAGAACAAATCCTAACTGCTTACATATAATTTTTGTTGCAAACAGAGTTGTTCATTATTCATTAATTTTCTTTAATATTATATTTTTATTATTTTCCAGTGTGTCTAATGTAATATTTAATTATTTATTGAAATAATTGAACATAATTAGTTCAATTTCAATGTTTTTTTAATAATTTTCTGTATTACTCTGAAGCTTACAATGTATTCCAGCTACTTTATTTCTTTTACTGTTTTAATTTTCGTCGTCAGCCTTGTTTGACTACAGCAGTGCTAATTAATTAATTTTCCCTATTAATATTGTTTTGCCAATTTTGGCCACAAAGCGTCAGTACTTAGTTCACATTCCAACAATTTCAGCACATTTTTGTGTTCATTGCATTTAGTGAATATTTATGTGCTTAGCACATAAATATTCACTATTACTACAATTATTATTTTCCAGCGAGTCTAATCATGTATTATTTATTTATTATTTAATTAACTATAACTTGATCAGTAAAATGTAAACGCTATTTCCCTATTCTATACTACTTTGAAGTTAACAGTGTATTTTAATAATTGTATTTCTTTCAACTGCTTCTAAATTATGGTTTCAGCCATGTTAACTAGTCCAAGTAAGTGCTGCTCCGTCATTTTTGGCCAAGCAGAATCAACATGTAACTGCACCTTATGACACCTTCAACGCACTATTAATGTTGATTGTGTACAGCTTTTAATGCAAAGTACTTTCTTTATTGTTACCATTTCCCAGCGTGTCTATTATTTTAATATTTATTAATTATTTCACTAATTAATCCGTTCAGTTCTTTATATTACTTAGTATTTTGTGCAATGTATTCCAATTATTGTGTCTATGCTCTGTTGCCTCTGAATTATGTAGGCAGTCACGTCTAGCCATGGTAGTGCGAATTAATTGATTAATCTTTTTAAGTGTCGTTCCACCCTTTTGATCAGACAGATTTAGCACGTAGTTACATATATTCCGAAAGCTTCATTTCAGAATTTGTGTTGACTGCATTCAGTGTTTTGTGCGAAGGTATTTTTTAGTGCACTTTTCTCACCATTTATTATAGCGTCGATTGTGTGCGTAAGTGTACCAACTATGACTTGCTCCATTTGAGTGCTACAATACTCAATGTTTCTGTATACAAATATTCTTAAATATTGTTTTATACTAATTCAAACTACTGACTATGCGTGTAGTATCATCTAAACTTCCATCTGGTTCTGTCAGCTCTGTGCGACCTATGCAAGACTCTAGAAATAAACAATGGCACCCCAAACATTTCTTCCGCATCCAGGATTGAAACAAGTAATCATATTTATGAACAGTTCGATTTATTTTTGCAACAAACCAAAGACATAACAAATATTTAACTTAAGGGATAGAAAATAGTTCACTCCCTTAACCAGTACAGTCAGGAACGTCGTAGGGGAGCAAGAAATATATTGAGGCCAGCTAGAGGGTCAATTTCAAGTGTTACAAGAACTGTGAGATTAGCAGAAAAGAGCTATTAGGCATAATTTCTAGCTATAGTTTACTGTCTTCGACAATTTCAATATGAAACACCTCATCAACAAAAGTTTCAGAATAAGCAGAAGACTAAATTTATTTCACTCTTGTAAGTAGTAACAAAAGAATGTCTCAAAAGAATTAAAGCACTGAATTCGTCTTAGTCTTGAGAGCAGTTAATAGTGAGTGTTATCCGGAGCAGATTAAGGAACAGCAAATCTCAAATAAATACAAAAGCTCAAGGGATATTTTCATTGAAGAGATCAGATCCACTAAGCCAAGGCATCTTCTAATTAGTTATAAAGAGAAAAGGAGAGAAATCCCTTAGAGGTATTATATAAGGCAACTAATGAAAAACATTCATTATTGGAAACAATCTTCTAGACTCCTAGCTGCAGGAAGAAGATAATTATCTTGTTTGGCACTCCCTCCATTGCAACAATTGAATATATTTGACAGGTCTTGCTAGATCCTGTGCCTTTGGCTACTGCAGATCAAGGATAGCGTAGGAATGACTTGTAAAATGTTGTAGGAAAGCACAATTGCATAGTTGATTTCCAGTTGAAGCTTCACGACCAGCTTGCAAAATGTAGAATTCTGGAATTTAGGCCCTGTATCTTTAGAGATTATCACAGGGTCGCGCAGTCGCACACTGTTACAATTGTTAGAGGCTGGGCTCTTTAGACACGGATGCAAAGCACCTCCAGCTTACGGAAACTGGGGCAAAAATACCAAGCAGATAAGTGAAAACAGAAGTTTCGCACTGCATAACTGCGATAGATTCAACAAATGAGTGAAGTCAGTCTCAAAGGCACGGCATTTGAGACTACACATTCAGCAGTGCTAAAGTATGTCAGGCATAAGCGGAGTTAATGAAGCTCAAGAAAGCCCAACATTAGATAGCCATCCATAACCCAAGTCAACATAAGATCTATTTCCAGTTGCAATGTACTTCAAAGTAATCTTTAGCGTTATAAGGGGCCAGAGCACATGCTGCTCAAGTCAATTTGGAAAATAGTATCTCCATATCTCTCATTCAGGAGTACTACATACACAGTGGAAAATGTTTAGATTTAGTTCCATGAAAACTTTCAATTCAGGAATGCGTCATAGTCGTTTCGTACTCTATTATTTGAATAAGCAAGTAAAATAGGAAGGAAGTTTTATCTGTTATTATAGACTCAAAGCAACAATACAAATGAAGAAACTAATGGAAAACGGCTTCTGTGGCACTAATAAATAGCCATAATTCTCTTTTAAACAGAAACAAATATCTCCCATTCATTTCTAAAAATGCATGATCTCTCAGTGCTGAAAATTGACTAATTTCAGGATTTCGAAAGACGTAGAGTTGCCGCCTTGATCATTGATTTAAACACAAAAATACTTCAAACTCTGAATGAATTCTCATTTATGAAAATGGAAGTGAAAAGCTCTATGAATGTTCAGATGCCTTGCAAACGAAATTTTTGAAGTAAAACACCGAATTTGGTGATTTAAAGCGAAGTAAGCATACTTAGACCAATTTTGATTTCGTAGATTTTAAGAGATGGCATATTTCGTGTTTTGTTGGAACTATGTATCAAATTTTAGCTGTTTTTTTACACAGAATTTGAGATATTAAAACATAAAAAATCAATGAAACGTATAAGATTCTAGCTAAATTGGTAGTCCTTAGCAGCTAGAATACTTTAGAAGTGTGTAGCGACTAATCGCTTACTTCTAAGGTTTTAACAAGTCTAAAGAAGGGTTAAATTGCTCTATTTATTCAACTCAAGAATATTCGCAGTTGAACACTCTCAGGCTTACACGAAGCCTTCACTTTGGCTTAAAATAGAAAATGAGGAACTAATCCAATGCTAACTAAACTAAAACCAGCCGATGCTGCACTTCAGTAACTAATAGATTTGGTCCTTAGCACGATTACCGGTGAATATTAGCAGGTACGTAACAATACGGCCGAATATAAACATAAGACTTAAAGCAACGACGTGGCCAGAAGACAGAACACGTTCTGCTAAGAACTTCTAAGCTCTTCTACTGAAGTAACCGAGACTCTCTTAATAACTGTTTCCAGCTCATTTACATAAAATGCTATCCTGAAAATTCATTCTGGTAGGGAATCGTTGGTTGGAAAGAAGAGAATAAACGAAAGCTGTTCAAAATTAAAAATAACTTTAGGAAATTAAAATAACCCCTACAATGGAATAAAGCAAAATAGTTACACAAAAATTAAAAAATAAAATACGCAAATTATATCCACTAATGTAATAAAATTTTCAAATCAACTACATTATAAAGTAGTATGAAACAAATTCTACGAAGTAGTACAAATCAAGTGCAAATTCTACGAAGTAGTACAAAACAACCGCAAGTACTACAGAATAGTACAAAAAACAAGTATACAAGTAATAGTACAAAACAAAAGCAAGACTAGTACCGCAAGTACTACAGAATAGTACAAAAACAACCGCAAGTACAAGAATAGTACCACAAAAAGTATAGTACAAAACAACCGCAAGTACTACAGAATAGTACAAAACAACCGCAAGTACTACAGAATAGTACAAAACAACCGCAAGTACTACAGAATAGTACAAAACAACCGCAAGTACTACAGAATAGTACAAAACAACCGCAAGTACTACAAAATAGTACAAAACAACCGCAAGTACTACAAAATAGTACAAAACAACCGCAAGTACTACAAATAGTACAAAACAACCGCAAGTACTACAAAATAGTACAAAACAACCACAAATAAGTACAAAGCAACTACATTACAAAGTAGATAAATATAATAAGTATGATGCAAATAAATATTTGCCAAAATGCGCAACATCAGTAATATATCGAGAAACGAGGTTATTCCGTACGAATGTAGTCCCATTTAAAAATTCAGTTTTCGAATGAGAATCTTAGAAAATTATCCAGTTCAGAAAACAAATATAAAAAGCCTGATTTCGTTGGACTGTATTAACGCATTTTATAACCGGCATATTCAATGAGTTTTTTTAATATTTCATTTGTGTATAGTAACGTGTTCATTTTTAAAATTTGTCATTTTACTTTAATGTTTACAGATCCCACTTGTTGCTGATCTACCAGTTGGAAAAAATTTTCATGACCACTGTGGTATAGCTCTTAGTTTTAGATTGAGTTCTAATATCCAGAAGCTTTCCGAAAAATTCACTGATTTGGCAAATATTGCTACCTATATTCAGAACAAGACGGGTATGTTTTTTTTTTTTTTTTTTTTTTTTTTTTTGTGAACATAAAATAAAAATGTAATTCGTCTGCTTCTAATGTTACTAAAATAAAATTTAAAATAAAACCTTCTTGACACAAAGCTACTACAATTTCTTGACGTGGCTTATCTAATAATCAAAGTTTTTTCTCTCTCGCCCATCTTAACTATTACACAAGAATTCATTGGTTAAGCAGACAAGTTATATGTGGTGTGCATTAGCACGAAAGCGTAATGAGTACGTTCCTCAAGCAACAGAATTAAAGAATCATAGTCAAAAGATTAACTACGAAATCTTTATTTAATAAAATAGGAAATTCTGCTTAGCATAACAATAAAGTAATAATCTTCACAGACATTAAATGAAGTATCCAAAAGAATAACTTAAGAATCTCATCAGTACTAAATATCATCAGGCTTACCTATATAAGGCAATAAGAAAAATAAACAGGACATACTTTGCCATCGTACCTGAAAGAGAAGAAAGTACTACTGGATTAGACCTTTGGCCAGGTACAAGTAGCTGGGGTGAAAATCAAATATACTGCATTGCACACGAGCTTTACTTTCTCTCGCCAATATATACCTTGGCGCACGTTGGTTTCGTATGCCTTTCGAGTTTCATTATGCAAAATACCTAAATTTATGCTAATATATATATATATTTACTAATTGAAAGTAAGAGTTGCACAGACTATATGCATCAAATTTTTAGATTTATGTATGGCATTAGTAGTAAAATTTTATGTGAATCATAGAAATTTAAAATGTTCATTTGGGAATAAATTTCGAATAAAAAGGGAAGAATAGACTTCCAAAAATTCATTTTCCTACCTAGTACAATTAGGTCTTCATAAGGAACTCAATATGCTGGTTAAATAGTTTACTTACATAATTTATGTTGTATTTCTGTTTTTTCCTCTTTTTTCTTTCTTTCTTTTTTTGAAGTACACTTTCGTAGCCACATAATTATGAGTTCCACATGAGTATCTAGGAAATTTTTTGAATTGTGATTTTTTTAAATTTTGATTTGCATATATTTTATGTATAGGGTTCAACTATCTTGAAGTTACAGCTCTGTGTGTGGAACCTTGAGAACTGGTAAAAGAATAATCGCTTTAGCTCAGGAAACAGAAACGTAAACTAAAGAAGGGTTAATTAGCGTTTATTGCTCAAAATAAGGATTAAAACATGGCCATTTTCTCAAGACGTACAGAAAAGCCTCCACTTGGGTTGAATTCAAGAGTACTAAGAAAATAAAACTTAACTAATGCTTAACTGAAAAGATATAGCCGAAGCTATCAAAATTCTACAGGAGTTGGCCCTCAAATGCTAACTAAACAGCGAAGCTATCAAGAGCCTGAAATACGGTCGAGCAGAGTAATAGCTTGGAGTGTAGCCGAAAGGCAAACGCCCACTAGTCAGAGTCTCTGGCTCTCTAACGAAGTCAGTGGAACTTCGACTTTAGTATCGCTCTTCCTTCATTTGCATTAACCGCGATTCTAAAAACACACTCTGGCACGAAGTTTGTAAACTGAAATTAGAAGGGACACGAAAGTAGCTTTCACTAAAGATAACTGTTAAAAACTTAGGATAAACCTTACATATGTTACATATATACCAAAGTAAGTCAGAATGAAATCTTAAATACTTTTTACATGTGATTTATTGAACAAAAGAGGAATAAAAATGTATTATGTTTTGACATAATCTAACTGATGTTCAACACTCTTCCTCAAGCACACAGGGATTGTACGGATTCCTCTGAAAAAATGTCTTGTGGTTGTGTGTGCAGCCGTTTGGTTACCGCATAGTGTATCTCGTCGGAATGAAATTTCTTTCCTCTCGTCACCTCTTCAAGTGGTCCGAACATGTGGTAATGTCTTGGAGTAAGGTTTGGTAAACATGGCGGATGTGGAAGAGTATAAAACTGAAGGTCAGTGATGGTTATAGCTTTTGCATGAGCTGTATGAGGTCGAACATTGTCATGGTGCAAAACGACATTCACTTCACAGTCAAACATTCACCTCGCTTCTATTTGATTTCAGGCCGAAGATGATTTTTAAAAACATCCAAATATAACTCACTGGTAATAATAGTATTTTCCCTAGGCTTTTGTGTTCCAAGATAACGTCTCGTTCATCCCAAAAGAGATCAGCATAACCTTTCCTGCAGATCGTTGCGCCCGGAACGTCTTGGGTTTTGGTAATCAGGAATGGTGCCATTCCTTGCTTACTCTATTGCTTTCGGTTTGGTGGTAATGGACCCAGATTTTGTCTCCTGTGACGGTTCGCGCAAGGAAGCTATTTTTTTTCTGCTTCAGAACGCAACAAAAGTTCTTCACAGACGTCAGTTCGTCATTCTTTCAGCTCTGGAGTGAGATGCTGTGGCACATACCTTGCAAACACTTGCATGCACTTTTCGAAATTTAGGCATTTCATGAATAATGTGATGACCTGAGCCGTGACTAATGTTCAGATCTGTGGCTGTTTCATCTTCCGTCACAAGGTAGTTCTCCCTTACAATGGCTTCACCCGTCATAGGAGTCACACCGTTTCTGCGCCTCCTACTGAATTAGTACACTTGCTACAGTAATAAGCATGTCTCACTATACTGGAATTTCATTCGCCGATGGATTTCAATAAGTTTCATACCTTTACTTACCAGGACGCCAACCCACCGATATTCTAGAATGGGATCTAAAGTACAAAAGGTTAGGGATCTCTGGTTTAGAGACAATAAGACATATCTTTGGTTAGTAAGATTAATGAACTCTAAGTTACTGTCATCATAACCTTTATATTATTTTCACTTGCAAGTGAAAATTCTTTACTCAGGCTAAATAAAGAGTTGCTGAGTTATATTTTGTAATCACGTTTAGGAAAAATAAGCTAAATCTTTCATAGTATTATTACTTCTGAGTGAGGTTTAGCTATTACAATGCATTTTAAAAATATTGCATTGATAACATTTTGATATGAAACAAACTGGTACAGCTTAAATTTCTAACTAATTGGTATTTTTTCCAGGTATCTTAGCATCGAGTGATGGAATATCAGCAGTCGCGTTTTTAAATAACTTGACTAATACAATTGCAGAAGACCTTCCTATTTACCAATTGTACTTTTCAGAAGGAACATCGAAGATTCCCAAAGAACAATACGGATTGAAGCCAGAGGTACTATAAAAATAATTTTAAGTTAAATACCTCAAATTAAAACATCAAAGATTTTTCTTAAAAGCTGAAAAATAAAATTTCAAAATTTCACATTTGTTGATGTCAGTAGTTGCATGATCTAACTAGTGTTACAAGACGTAAACACGAAAAATGCGCGTATCTGTTTATGATAAAACAAGGAAAGAAGGATGACCTTTTACAGAACTCAGACCACAACTTCTTAATTTATAAGAGAGATGTCAACATAATTTGATAACATATTTCTCACATCTGAAGCCATGAATTTTCAGCAGCATCTGTCAAAATAATCTGGCTGTTTTGTCTTTTAGATATTGCGTATGTGTTTGAGTCTTTCTTGTTATAAATAGAAAGAAAGTTTAAGTGTATCAGTCCTCCAACTATTTAAAAAAATGTAGAAAGCATGGAAACCAATTACCTGGCTAAAGTAATTAATTTGTAGCCTGAAAGAATGTTGAATTCAGTGTCGCTAGGGACCGAAATGTAGGCTGTAAGGTAAATAATTGTTTAATTCTCTATCATTGGCTAAAGTAATTCATGCAGAAAGAGCGTAAGATTAAATGTTGCTAGAAATCGAAACTAAAAAACTGCACATTAATTTATTATTTCATTTTCTGACATTCTTAAGTTGCAAAGGTTGTTAAGTTTTCTTAGTTTATATTTGTTGATGGTAATTAATTTATGCTGATTTTAGTTCAGAATTTTGACACAATTCTGATTTTCAACTTGTTTTAGCCCGAAATGAGTAAGTAAAATAATAATGTCTTTATTAAAGATTGTCCAGTCTCATTCAAAATAGATTCTTAGCGATAAGATTTTAAAAGCAATAACCAAAAATTTACTTAAAGTACTTTTCTTAATGTTGCAATTCGTTACTAAAATTGCGGCATTTGTATAAACTGAGAATTTGAGAATAGCAATAGTTAATGATTAATTAATTAAGGTTCCAGCAGTAGGATTCTTGAAATGTAATGTAGATTGTAAGATGTAAATTAAATGTAAATTATTAAGCTGGACGTTTTTATTCATTCTTACAATCAAATCCTCAGCAATTTATAAACAAATGTAGAAATTATGGATACAGATTCAGACATACATGAGGGTAAGAACGAGAAGTTGTGATTTTAGTAAACTGATATTTACTAACTGAAGATTGCCTGCAGTAGACATTGTGATGATAGTAGATATTTATAGCACTGTGTATGAAGATAATATATTAGAACATACTGAATTTGGTATGTTTGCTGCTATTGAAGATTTGACAAGGTTTTCACTCTATTACCTTTTCTACAGCATTCCCGATAAAAGAACTTTCTAGTAAGAAATAATATCAGAGTAGAGTCCTTAATGCTTTTTTTTAAAGCAGACGTGACAAATGATGCCCTCACCAGGAGAGGCCTGGACCTCTTGAATACGTGTCAAGTATGCTTCCAATTCTCCCTTTTAGAGGGCGACTGGGGATTAGGAGACTCAGTCGCCAAATCCTGGTGTTGACAAATTATCGTCCATCACCTTTTAGTTCGGGCGACACTTATAGAATCTTTTTTTTTTTTTTTTTTTTTTGAAAAAATATACAGTGCCCTCGCCGTGACTCAAATCCTGAACCTCTTAAATACGCATCGAGTATTCTTCCAATTGCACCACGAAGACACGCGGAAGGGAGGGAGAAATACCTTATATCAGTTTCAAACAATATCGTTTACCTCAAGAAATTGTCAGTTACATTGCCTAAATTCTACTGCACCTTATATCTCGAGATAAATTTAATTTATTCATAAAATCTACAAATACTTTTATGTACAGAATGTCTCATGAATTTGGACACTTATTAAAGAAATAATGTAAAATTAATAAATTTTTCTACCAGAGTGCAATTTGCTCCTGAAAACTTAACATACAGGTCGGTTTAATTTGGGTATAGTTTTAGTAAAACGTTTCACCAATGACCCTGGCTGCATCATCGACATGATGATCAATGTGTTTATGGTGAAATACTATATTATTTTTAGTATTGTGATATGCAGAAAATTGTCTTGAAATCTGAAAGAAAATGTTTATTATATTCTCCTTAGCGAATCTTCCTCCAAACATTCTCTTCTATGGTAAGTTTTGAAGTGTACACCACATCTAATACTTAGGACTTCATATAATAATTTAAAAGGTGTCCACATTTATCAAACAGGCGGTACTTTGTATTTTGCTTGAATTCGTAGCATACGTTTATATGTCTAGAAATGTTTCATACAGTTTCATTAAAAACTTATTGAAGACAACAATTTTTTACGACATATACTACTAATACGTAAATTTATTCAGGTATATTCTCAAGTATTTGGCCCTTATGAAAACGATTCTTTGCTTTCTTGCGAAATTCATGTTCTTCAGCCCAGAAGTCGAGGATCTGTTCGACTGAGATCAGCAAACCCTTACGATCCACCCCTCATCGACCCTAATTATTTAGAAGATCCTAAAGATGTTGAAGATCTGGTGCAAGGTGAGTTTATATTTTTGTTATGATTAGATGATTACAAAAATTAAAAAAAAAATGAAAGGTCCAATTTATCAGTTTAGTGGTCTAAGAGCTGTAAATTAATAACTGCTTTATTTTGGGGAATATATTCCATAATTACACTGACAGAAGACATTAAGGAAGTGTACTGCATTATTTCATTAGGATTAATAGTATAATATAATTTTAAACACTAATGAGATCTCACTAGAGTTCCAAACTTGATTATAACAAACATGTATTCCTTTATCTTCTCCATTTCTTCGAAAATTGTTTTTTATATTAATTAAATTTCCATTTTACCAACAGAAACATTTGTATCAAATGTTGCAAGGATCTTAAGTTTTACTAACGTTTATTTTATTTTAAAACTTTACTATCCTCTATTATTTTCCTCTTCCAGCCAGAATAAACACGTGAATTTGTTTATGCAAATTGCACTTTCCCAAACTGGGGAGAAGGCTGATCGGACGGTAGGAGTTTAAGTTCTTTGGGTTTTTCCCCGGCTTGACAAACGTAATTATCTGCGCGTGCTTCCACTGTTGCGGAAAGTAATTGAGCCTCATACAAGCATTGACTATGTTTGTAATGAGGACTATGTAGGTTCTTGGGAGAGCTTTGAGAACCGTATTGGTGATGCTATCGTAGCCGGGAGCTTTCCTGGACTTTAAGTTGCTAATTATATTACTTATTTCTGTTGGAGAAGTTGGGTTGAAGTGATTATTCACAATTTCTGTCAGCTAGGTGGTTAATGAAATTATCGAACTTCTTCATCTGTCTCATCATTATTAGAGGCATGATTGGTGAAAGTCTTTTTCTAGATGCTGCGCAAGGGCTTCAGCCATGTCATGTTCAGAATAAGCAATTCCACTACTGGTGTGGAGAGGACCAATATTTCTGTTATTAGTATTCCTTAAGGAATTTCCAATACGCCAGACTGTATTCGGAGAGAAATCCATGGAGTCTAAGAAATCGTCCCAACAATTTGATCTGTACTCTAGGAGGAGGGTCTTGATGTTCCTAATTTTTCTGTTCAGATTTCTTTTAACAGTGGGATCGCCTGTTCTTCGCCAGATTTTTGCTGTGCGGTTTTTTGTCTTTTATTTTCTCAATGATGTGGTCGGGGAGCTTATCTTTCTTATAATCTTTGAATTTGGTGGATGGAATCATCAAGGGCTTTCTTAATTTTACTATTGATCTTAGTGATATTGTACTCAATGTCTACAATATCGGCAAGAGCCGGGTGTGCAGGTAATTGTTCTAGAGAATTATTGAATTTCTGCCAGTTTATAATTTTCTTTAAAGGCAAGGTCTTCTCAAAGCCATGGTAAGTAAATTTAACAGGGAGATGGTCAGAGGTTAATTGATTAATCACCTTGTAGGAAAGGGATTTGCTGGATATTTTTTGTAATAACTATGTCGAGAACATCCGAGCTGCCTGTATGATGATACCTGGTGGGTTCCGTTGGTCCAAAAATTCGTAGGTCATTCGTAAGAGCATAGGTATAAAGTTTGTTGCCATTTGTGTTATTTCTTTGAGAATTCCAGCTATGATGTTTAGAATTCAGGTCCCCCTGCTATAATAACAGGGTGAATGATATTGTTAAAAATTTGCAAAGTCATTGTTGGTGAGATTGTTTCTGGTTGGATTATAAGCCGAGATGATGACAATCGGCTCATTTGTCCGCGAATTACTACAAACTGAGATGTTTTCCTCCTTTTATAAGATTTTAAAATCACGCGCTAGAATTTTCCAGCACTTTCTCGAACTCAAAAAGAGATATTATTATTTTAATGCACGCGCTCTGTATTTTCAATTTTCCGGCTTAGCTTCTTTTAATATTCGTCACGCGCTGCACTGCGCGAGAAATAAAACCATTTAATTTATAATTGAACTAACATTAGCTTTTTAAATACCAAATTCGTAACAATATTTTTCTAATAAACCTAGAATTCTTAATTAATGCTTTATTTATGTCGAAACAAAATGCGCAACGCGCCCTCTTTATGAAAAACTCCCTCAATAAAAAAAGTGTGAAAAGTTAAGAGAATTTGCACATTATGTCGAATTTCTGAATCATGGACAGATTTAAAACAAAATTTGGTTTGAAAATATATTTATATTTCAACCAACTGGCTTAAATTTTCTTTATAATGCGTATTTAAGGCTACTGAACTCTTTATAACATAATTACGAAGCAGAATAGATTAATATTTAATAAGATGTAAACTAATTTATTTAAACTAATTTATTAAAAAAATTTTCTTACCCTTTTATTGGGAGAAAATCTTGAGTACGGAAGAAGAGTTTTATTTATTGAAGTGCTTTTAAATGCGATGAAAATAAAATTAATAATTAATGTATACATTATTGTGCTTATAAACTTAGCAATGTAGCATCTATTAATATAAAATAAAATTAAATACAGATATCAACTGGTCAAACATTGGTTGAATTTTCATAAAGAGATTTATATATGTCTAGAGTAGATTAAGCCACTTCAGATCAAATATGTTTTAATAAGAAAAATTATGCTTAAAATCACTAGGGTGGAGGAGGGGGTAATGGAATTTAAACAATTTGAGCTCCATTAGTGCAATAAATTAATTTTATTACAGAGAAACATTTACCTCAGTTAAGGCTAAAAATATAATACGGGGATATTCGGTGATCTACCGGAAGACCGGATGTGATGAAAACTGTTAGAGTTAGCAGCTATGCAGTATTACAAATGTAATATATTCAAAATAAAAATATAACCATTAAAAAAACCTTTCATTTTCCAAAAATACATCATTCTTCAGGTACGGAGTTATCCAGTTTTTGAATACCAACCTGCATTTTATTTTCAGTCTTAAGGCTGAGCTTTAAATTTTTCTCTTTTATGCAAACTCTTAGGAATGAAAATGTGCCAGAAAATCGCCACTAGTGAACCGCTTCGCAGGCTGGGATCAAAACCGTTTCAGACCTCTTATCCAGGATGCGAAATGTATAGAAGTGACATAGATCTCTATTTTCGTTGCCTAGCCAAGTCGTTCGTTCTTTCTACAAGTCATCCGGCAGGGTCGGTTAAAATGGGTGATCCCGAAGATGCATCGACCGTAGTCAGTTCTGAATTAAGGTAATAAAAATTCAAGAATATAAATTGTTTATGTAGATTTTACTTTAAAGCTGATTGAAAATATTCTTCTCAAATATGATTGAAGCAAGATACTTTATAAATAATAATAATTTATAGTATTTAACAAAACTGTTACATGTTTTTTAGTTATATTAGAATTTAAATCTTACTTATAGTTGGAAGATATCACGTATAAAATTTTATAGGAAAAACAAAATGTGTAAAAGTATTCATAATTCCATGAGATATTTAATTATATCAAATCTTATGACATTGAAACAGAGGTAAACTACGAGGATTTTCCATATTTTAAAAGTATGTGTACCCTTGCTGATAAGGCACTTGTTTCGGCATTATTAAGAGGATTTACTTATTGGAAAGCTTGATGAAGATACAATAATGACTACTTTTTCCAAAAGATAGTTGTGAAGTTCATTACTATAGAAACTATTCTCTAGACCACTTGCGTATTTCAATGAAAATTTGGTACAAAGCTTATAAAAAGGAAGTACTAACGCGTTAATGTGGTGGCATTGGTCTGAGGATTAGTTGTGTCTGCACTTCCCACTAATCTTCAGGGATTTTCGCAACCGGACTGCGAGTGCTGATTGAACGCAATGAAACAGATTGCCGCATAAATTTCTGCTAAGCGAAGAGCAAGTGTTTCTGTGCAATAGTCAATGATAGACGCACTGATAGATAATCTCAGATTTTCACTACACATTGTGTAAAAAAGGAATTTCTGTACATAAAAAATACACCGTTGTGTAGAATACCTCCTAAGAATTAAGGATTTTAAATTTTTAGATATTTGGTTTTATAGCTATCAAAGATGAAATAACAGGGTAAAACTTTTAATATAACTTTAAATAGATGCACTTAAAGCCTAATAAGGCATTGAAATAGGAATATGGTACTAAATGTTCTCTTTAATAAAATTATCATTTTATTAAAAATACTAATTTTATGATACCGTAAATATAGACCCCTGGAAAAGTCATAAAATCAAATCGATTAGGTGGATGGGGGGCTGCGCCTCTTTCTGTACCGTAAATATAAATTTTTAATACCTTCTGAACTGCATTTAATTTCAAATTTATTAATTTTTTTTTTAATCCCCTAGTTTATGTTATTGACTAATAGCTAAACTGAAATAGCGCACATATTAATACTTAATATCTGCATCAAAGTAAATTAATTTATTATCTTAAATTTAATAAATAATGGTTTAATTTAATACTAAATATTATTAATAATAATATTTTAATTCATTTTACGAGAAGAATAAGAATTACTTAGCTTTTAACCCTTTAAACCTATTTTAAATCCTCCCATTTTCTCAAACGACAACAATAAAACCTGTCATTTTAATTAATAGCATAATACTTATAATTAAAAAAAAACTTTCTTTTAAATTGTTGTAAAATTTCAGTACTTTAATAATACGCAAAAAAATTAAACTACTATGAGTAAACTAATTAATCATTGATATTAATATATATTAAATTAATTTTTAAATACTAGAATACCGAATAACAATCATAAGGAAATAAAAGAAAGTTTAATTAAGGCCTACAAAGCACCATACCTGATACAAATGCCAAAATCAAGGGATGATCACGATCATCTGTAAGTTTAGTAAGCAGCCATTCTAAAACCGCCACAGAAGCAGATACACCAAATGTTAATAAACGTTTACCATCGACTTTGAGTCAGATTATAAATCCAAAATATCATCAAGGCCATCAGCTAGCTCAACAAGCAATCAGTCTAAAACTACGATTGACGTAGATACATCAGCCGTCAGCAATATAAAACCAAACTTGAAATTCACATGCAATTCGAATCCAGTTCATATAAGAATCAAATCTACGTTCTTTGTAAAGACAGCTTAGATATCACTTAGCGTAGTTTACCATTTTCAGCTTCGCCAAAAAGAGAGAAACCAGCTACCGTCTGCACTTCTGGCTTTCAAAACAGTAGCCATAACAGGGCCTAATTTACAAAATTTTGCCTCAGTAAAAGAAACAGCAGTAATTCTGAAGTGGTAATCCCGTGGACATCTCCGGCTGTTATCATAAGCTATATACAATTTAATGAAAGCACTTACTCACAAATCGTCCGCACTACTCTCAAACCCTACTAATAAATGCTAGTGCGCTATGTCAGCACTTGCATCTTCAAAGCACAATAATTATTTATGTTAAAGATTGTGGCAACAGCGTTGTATCTCTAGAGCGACGTTTTGGATTTATTTTTGAATTCAAAATATATAGAATAAACATGTCATCTTTGATCATAAAAATGGTAGAGACGGCATTTCGTGAGAATGATATGGTTTTGAATTTCTGTGGATAAATTCTTAATGCTTTTGAACGATGGCTCTATTCAGAGAGCCAAATCATAATGAAGAAATTCTGTTGTATCGAAAATCTCAAGAAGTTTAAAATTGAAGATTTTGTAAAACGCCGAAAACAGAGACAACTACAAAAACTAAGAAAAGGCGAAAGAGAACCGACTCTTTTGATTAAACTGGACAAGAAATAAAATGTCGAAGCGATGATTAATTCCAAGAACAATAATCAGAGTTTAAGTGCGATCGACTTTGTGTAAATTGTAACCAAAAGCATTATATCGAGATTGTTCAAAATAAAATAAATATAATAAAAAAACCCTCAAAAATTACTCTCCAAAAACTCTCCAAATAACATTCTAGGATAAAATCTGCCCTGAATAAAATAAACGGTAAATAAACGACAATAAACAATCTGTGTTCGATTCCAGACGAATGGGCTGGCTGCATGGACATTTTCGTGACTTTCTCCATGTGTAACGTGTATAGGAGCCAGTTTTAGAAAAAACTCCAATAAGGCATCCCTCTTCTTAATCAGATAGCCCTTATTTGTCTGCCATAATTAAATAAACCAAACCAGCCCTTCACCTAAAGACCATTCACATTATTTCTCCAGAACTGTAAAAGTAGGAACTTAAGACAGCATTCAGGACATAGTCTCAGTCACAGTACAATAACAATTGATAGGCTAAGAACCTCGTCTCAGTAGCAGCTTAATCAAACTAGAAAAATATGTTAAATGAATTCAGAGCGCACTTCAATAGCATTTGTCGTACTCACGCACACCCAAGACTCCACTCCACATCAATGCTACCCTCATATCATTTCAGAGAATGTTTCAACAAAACGCTGTTAAATGCCAAGAGCTGAGACACGCTCAATGAAAATGTAAGAACAAGTCATATTGTGCCTTCTGATCAGGTCATCATAACATCAAAGAGGGCCGTGCAAAAAGCCGACTTGCCTTAACTCTTCGACTACAGAAAAGGTAAAAATGATCTAAAACACACCCACAGCTATAGAAACTGTGTGAAATAGTGCAATCGAAACACTCAGTATTAACTATATATTATCAATGGAGCACACAGAGTGATACAACATTCCATCAACTCCAGATCAACTTACAAAGAGCAAAAGTCATTTCCATGCAAGCAAGCATAGTATGCAAAGGAAATCGTATTGATATAGTTTGTTGCATTACTGCGTAAATATGTTTCATGTAAGACTATTTGGATGACACTGTGTGGCAATATTTCAGATATGTATCTTTATCGTGTGACGTAGCGGCTTCTCCTAGGCAAGTTTAGTTTTTCTGATTAATCAGTCGCAAACATGTCTCAATAGCTGCAAATATCGTCCAAATTGGAAATGCGTGCAGTGATTCATTTTTTTGTGGGAAAAAAGGTGCAACTGCGCTGAAATTTATGGGCAGTTGCATGAAATGTACGGTGAAAATGCAACGTCAAGTCAAGCTATCGCTAAATGGTGCAACATTTTTGAGAATGGACGTATAGATATTGCCGACGCTGAGCGCGAGGAAAGACCATCAGCTGCAAAAAATTTGGAAATCGCTGCTCGCGTGATTAAATGCATTCTTGCAAACAGACGCATAACGATAGACAAAATCTCAAATGACCTGGATATTTCTCATGGAAGTGTGCATAAAATTATTGCCGATCACCTTAATTTCGTAAAGTTTGTGCTCGATGGGTGCCACGTCTGTTGACGGTGAAACATAAAGCAAAGCGTTTTGAAAGCGCATTTGCATTTCTGCAACGTTTCCAAATGGAACGAAAATGCCTTTTTGGACAAAATTGTGACTGGAGATGAAACTTAGATTCACCACTTCTCACCTGAAACGAAACGCAGCTTGCTCGAGTGGAAACATTGCAGTTCCTCGACACGAACAAAGTGTCGAACTATTCCATCTGCAGGAAACGTGATGATGGCGCTGTTTTTCGACAGAGAAAGTGTGGTACATACAGAGTTCATGACGAAGGGTGCCACAATTAATGCATCTTCTTATTGTGAAACATTGAAACGATCGTGACAATCACTTAAAAATCGACGGCCATGTAAACTGTCGAAAGGCATTGTGCTCTTGCATTCATGCACGATCGCATGCAGCAAAACAAACGTGCGAACTGCTGAAAATGTTTAGGTGGGAAGTGTGGAATCACCCTCTTTATAGCCCAGACCTTTCACCTCCTGACTTCCATGTATTTGTTTCCACGAAATAAGAGCTTTCAAAGCCACGGTACCATTCGGATGCCGAAGTGAAAGTTGCAGCCCAACAATGGTTATAAGACATTGGACGGGATTTCTTTTCGAAAAACTTGTACCACACCTCGACAAATGCTTAAATAACGGAGGTAATTATGTTGAAAAGTAGATTTGGAATGGAACTTTAAGATGTAAATAAAGTTTTTGTAATATTTTGCTTCTGTTTTGTTTTCTTAGGCAGTGCAACTAACTTTTTGACTACCCTCGTAATATGCAATAGGAAATCATATTGGTATAATATGCAATAGGAAATCATATTGATATAATATGCAATAGGAAATCATATTGATATATTACTAAGTCAATTGTCTTACTGAAAAGACAGCATCCTAGCTAGCTTCCCCCTGTCATAATCGCATGCAGC